TTTCTTCCTTCTTCTCAACCTCCTCCTCCTCCTCCTCCTCCTCCTCCTCCTTTCTGTCTATTTCTCTCACACGCTCGCACTACACACACGCAAACACACAAACGCGCTAGAGCACACACACACACACACACACACACACTGCGCGCTCGCACAAACACAAACGCAAATCCTTTCCCGGGGCCTCTTGTAATCTCGTCCGGTAAATTTCACAAAAGTAATGGAGCTTAATCATTATTTGCTGCTTCCCCTCAAGGGTTTACAATGGGGATAGATCATTCAGGCTGGAGACTGGAGCCCGTCTGTACTGGAAGAGAAAGGGGTGAACTAGAAGAGGGAACAAAGAGAAGATAACGAAGTATAATGTTATATATATATATATATATATATATAGATAGATATATAGATAGATATATAAATATATATATATATTCTGAAAACGGGGATGGGGACGAAGAGAGAGTGGGCAGGTTGGTAAAAGGCTGGAGATGTGATGTTGGAATGCTAAACAAAAGATACAAGATGTGTTTATAGAGAGATGGAGGATAAATTGATAGACATTAGACAGCAGACTAGTTCCTCTTTATATAATGTTTGTGCTGGCTGATTTGATTTATATAGAAAGAAGATAGCAGAAAAAAGAGGGGGGGGGGGGTGCAGTAGCTGAAAGATGAGTTCTTCATATTTCCATCCTGTAATAGACTTTTGGATGGATTTTGTGATTGCCCAGTCCCTCCTTAAGACCGAAATAAAACATCCACAAGTGGTGTTTGTTGATTTGTGTGGTTATTGGTGGGTTTTTTTTTCTCCCTCTCTTTTTGAGTTACGCCTTATTGATATCAGACTATATGCCTGTTTCGGTGCCATTCTTCTAGTGTAACAAATTAGGACGCCATTTTGATTGGAAACCAGAACTTGTGTCTGTTCTACAAGTCAACATCTGTTCATCATAGCTGCTGATAGCGCCTGTGGATCAACGTGGCAAGTCCGTGGTTCACGCTGGCCAGTCTTGTGTGAATGTGTAGATTTCTAATGGACTTTTTACCCAAAGCCTTTTTCAATGTATCCAAAACCCTCCAAATTTGGCTGTACGAGTTTTACTCTTTACTTGTATCACACAACGTTTTTTTTTAAAGGTTAAAGCTGTAGTACAAATCATGTAGGAGGAAGCACACTGTTTTTATAACAAGTAGGCGTATGTTGTGTGTATCCTTCACCGGGTGCTATGGTGCACCGTTCCAGTTTTATGAGCGGGGCCTGTTTGCGGCTATCATTCAATTCTTATTCTCTTCCCGGTCCCGGTATTTTGCTATTCTTGACCAGGAAGGGAACCGAGGGGTAATTTTTTTCTCGGAAGAAAAAAAAAAAACCCCGGCGCGCGGGCAGGAGGTAGTAAGGAGCATGTGATGGAGGGAGAAAAGTAACAATTTAGAGGTAAAAAAAAAAAAAAAAAAAAAAAAGACTAAGAATGTAAAAAGAAAAAATCCTTCTCAATAAGATGGATTGTTTTTTTGTTTTTTAATTCGTGGAATATATGCCAGATGCGTGAGTTTGACAAATTGTTTCAGCTTTGAAGATTAAGAGCGGAAAAATGTGTCTTTTGAAGTGTTTTCCCGTGAGGCCAGTCATGCAGGAGAAATGTTCGTGTTGGGATGTGCCTGTCTGTCTCTTCTCTCTCTTCCTTTTTTGGGTTTGAGGGGATTCCTGTGATGAGACGCACAAGCTAGAGCGGAAGTGAAGAGGGGAAATGGCGTGCCAGCCTGTTTAGTGTTCATTTTTTTTACTGTGTTTGGGTTGTGTTCTGGGTTTGGGATTTTAATGCCAGAGGATTGCATGAGGTTCTCGTCGCTCAATATGGCGAGCTCTTGATCCAGTGATGGGCATCCTGGGGATTCTTTTTATGAATCGGAATCTTTGCAATAGCGAGAGAAATTATAGCTGATGTTTTGTCCTGATCTTGTAGAGCAATTTAAGTTGAGTGCTCAGTGCATCGCTTTCTGTTCGGGTGGGCAGGTTAACACTACGTGACGGAAAAACTAGGACTTTTGTTATTGTAGTTGTTGTTCTGTTCTTTCAAGCTGAATTTTTTTTTGGGGGGTATGACCTATTTCTCTTCGTGTTCGCTGCCCCGCGTATTTTCTGCCGATGTATTGTTTTCTCTTGTATATATAATGGTACGTATGCGTGGTATTTGTGTGTATGTCGATAAAAAAAACAACCAAACAACCCAAACACGTGTAAGCCAATAGAATTGCTTCTGGTCGAAAGGCCAAAGGGAAGAATGGGAATTACTTACTGGGGAGACAATTGTAATAGATAGGAGGGCTTTGGTGTTCCAGTGTCCACGCGTGCGCGCA